GTGTAAAGAATGTAAATTACTCTTGTTTTAAACACAATTTTTAACCTTTCTTTGAATACTAAATAAATTTCAGACAAAACCTTGAAATTATTGGGTTTTTGGAATAATATTGAGTTTTGTGGATTCTTTACATTGTTGACATCGTGTAAAGAATGTAAAATACTAATGTTTTATACATAATTTTCAAGCTCCCTTTAAAAAGTATGTAAATTTCAGGTAAAAACTTGAAAATATTAAATTTTTGGAATTCTTTACATTGTTCACATGGTGTAAAGAATGTAAATTACTCTTGTTTTAAACACAATTTTTAACCTTTCTTTGAATACTAAATAAATTTCATACAAAACCTTGAAATTATTAGGTTTTTGGAATTCTTTACATTGTTGACATAATGTAAAGAATGTAAATTACTCTTTTAATACAAAATTTTTATGCTTTATTAAGAAATTATATAAATTTTATACAAAATATAGGAAATATTGAGTTTTATGGATTCTTTACATTGTTGACATCGTGTAAAGAATGTAAAATATTCTTGTTTTAAACACAATTTTCAAGCTTTCTTTAAAAATTATATGTTCCATACAAAACCTTGAAAATATTGAAATTTTTGTTTTCTTTACATTGTTGACATGATGTAAAGAATGTAAATTACTATTTTTTACACATCATTTTTAAGATTTCTTAGAAAATTATATAAATTTCAAGAAAACCTTCTATATATTGTGTTTTTGGTATCCTTTACATTGTTAACGTGGTGTAAAGAATGTAAATTACTCTTGTTTGAAACACAATTTTTAAACTTTCTTCGAAAATTATATAAATTTCTGACAAAATCTTGAAAATTCTGGATTTTTTTCATATTTTACATTGTTGACATGATGTAAAGAATGTAAATTACTCTTGTTTTATACACAATTATTAAACTTTCTTTGAAAACTATAAAAATTTTATACAAAATCTTGAAAATATTGCAATTTTAGCATCTTTTACTTTATAGACATAATGTAAACAATGTAATTTACTCAAGTAAATCACACTTTCTAACAATTTGTTAAAAGTTTTCTTATATAATTTAATACATTTTATTCTAATTTCATTTGTTTGGTTTACTTTAAACACGTGCATTTTTAATGCATTCTCTCTTTCTCTCTATTTGTGTTTAACGTTCTCTTCTTTTGCACTAATAAATTAAATAAAACAGGAAATTTTTCATACAATAAAATGCAAGGTTAACTAAATATAATAATAACTGTTAAGAGAATACATACTTTTATTAAAAACAATTGTTTTTGTTTTATTTTTTTTGCATAAAATTTATTCAGAATATTCCAGTTGAATTTTGCGTTAAAACCAACAACAAACATTTCAAATACAAAAGATAATTAAACAATGACGTTTAAATCTAAAGTTTATAAGTATCGTTAGAATTTTAACCTCAAATAAATTCAAATTTAAAGAATTCTTGATAGTTCGGTTCTAGCTCAGTTCTAGTTCTGTTCTAGTTCAGTTCTAATTCAGTTCTAGTTCAGTTCTAGTTCAGTTCTAGTTTAGTTCTAGTTCAGTTCTAGTTCAGTTTCTAGTTCAGTCTAGTTCATTCTAGTTCAGTTCTAGTTCAGTTCTAGTCTAGTTCAGTTCTAGTTCAGTTCTAGTTCAGTTCTAGTTCAGTTCTAGTTCAGTTCTAGTTCAGTTCTAGTTCAGTTCTAGTTCAGTTCTAGTTCAGTTCTAGTTCAGTTCTAGTTCAGTTCTAGTTCAGTTCTAGTTCAGTTCTAGTTCAGTTCTAGTTCAGTTCTAGTTCAGTTCTAGTTCAGTTCTAGTTCAGTTCTAGTTCAGTTCTAGTTCAGTTCTAGTTCAGTTCTAGTTCAGTTCTAGTTCAGTTCTAGTTCAGTTCTAGTTCAGTTCTAGTTCAGTTCTAGTTCAGTTCTAGTTCAGTTCTAGTTCAGTTCTAGTTCAGTTCTAGTTCAGTTCTAGTTCAGTTCTAGTTCAGTTCTAGTTCAGTTCTAGTTCAGTTCTAGTTCAGTTCTAGTTCAGTTCTAGTTCAGTTCTAGTTCAGTTCTAGTTCAGTTCTAGTTCAGTTCTAGTTCAGTTCTAGTTCAGTTCTAGTTCTAGTTCAGTTCTAGTTCTAGTTCAGTTCTAGTTCAGTTCAGTTCTAGTTCCGTTCTGGTTCAGTTCTAGTTCAGTCCTAATTCAATTCTAATTCAGTTCTACTTCAGTTCTAATTAATTATTCAGTTCATGTTCAGTAATTTTCTAAAAAAAAATTTAAGAATTTCTTAATTATCTTCTAAAATTTTATAGAAAATGGTGTATTTTCTTCGGTGGTTATCTAAAATGGGAATGATAATCAAAAAAAGAAACGCAGAAAGAAAGACAAGGTGGTTTTTTTGCTTTAAAAATAGAACTAATTGTTAATAAAAGGGTAATTTATTTATTTTTAAAACGTCAATATTGTTAAAACCCCACAACAAAACAATGACCATATTAAGCGTAAGAAAAGTATGTGAACTTTATTCAGTTTGTTTTACATACAAATCATTCAACCTTTATAAATCAAAAAGCAGACAAAAGCAGATAAATGAACTTATATTTTTCTTTCTTTTTCTTTGCTTGAACTCAGGTGATTTTTAAATTTTCACCTGGCAAACAGAATAAAAAAAATACAAAAACAAACAACAACTATAAAAAGCAAAAAAACAACAATAATAAGGCACACAAAAATATGTATTATTATCTTATCTTGAAAAAAACATGAAAGCTTGTTCACTTCCCTTGCAAAAATTCCCTGTAAAGATTTGAAATAAATAATTTTGAAAAATGTATGAGATACAGACCCTCACACATATATACATCAAGAAGTATTCGCTAAGAGAGCTGAAAATGAGCAAAATGTTAATATCAGTTTACAATTGAGAGCCAACTTATTGAATTTATTCTTTTAACTATTTCTCTTTGTTATCGAATATTTACCGTTTGTATTTGTTTGCAAAATCAATGTCTGAGAATCCAAATGACGGCAAAATTTATTATGTTAAGAAGACCCAGGAATGATTAAGTCTAAAGACCAGAATTCAGATATTGATCTCTAATCAGACATGTACTCCTTGAAAATAGTCTAGTTCAGTTCTTGTTCTAGTTCAATTCTAGTTTAGATCTAGTTCAGTTCTAGTTCAGTTCTAGTTCAGTTCCAGTTCAATTCTAGTTCAGATCTAGTTCAGTTCTAGTTCAGTTCTAGTTCTAGTTCAGTTCTAGTTTTCAGTTCTAGTTCGGTTCTAGTTTTCAGATTCTAGTTCAGTTCTAGTTTCAGTTCTAGTTTCAGGTCTAGTTCAGATCTAGTTCAGTTCTAGTTCAGTTCTAGTTTCAGTTCTAGTTTCAGTTCTAGTTCCGTAGTTCATTTCTAGTTCAGTTCTAGTTCAGTTCTAGTTTAAGTTCTAGTTCAGGTTCGTAGTTCGTCTAGTTCAGTTTCTCGTTCAGTTTCTGTCAGTACTCGATTCGTTCTCGTTCCAGTTTCTAGTTCAGTTCTAGGTCTCAGTTCTAGTCTCAGTTCTAGTTTCAGTTCCTAGTTCAGTTCTAGTTCAAGTTCTAGTTCAGTTCTAGTTCCAGTTCTAGTTCAGTTCGTAGTTCTAGTTCAGTTTCTAGTTCCTTCTAGTTCAGTTCTAGTTCAGTTCTAGTCAGTTCTAGTTCAGTTCTAGTTCAGTTCTAGTTCAGTTCTAGTTCAGTTCTAGTTCAGTTCTAGTTCAGTTCTAGTTCAGTTCTAGTTCAGTTCTAGTTCAGTTCTAGTTCAGTTCTAGTTCAGTTCTAGTTCAGTTCTAGTTAGTTCTAGTTCAGTTCTAGTTCAGTTCTAGTTCAGTCTAGTTCAGTTCTAGTTCAGTTCTAGTCAGTTCTAGTTCAGTTCTAGTTCAGTTCTAGTTCAGTTCTAGTTCAGTTCTAGTTCAGTTCTAGTTCAGTTCTAGTTCAGTTCTAGTTCAGTTCTAGTTCAGTTCTAGTTCAGTTCTAGTTCAGTTCTAGTTCAGTTCTAGTTCAGTTCTAGTTCAGTTCTAGTTCAGTTCTAGTTCAGTTCTAGTTCAGTTCTAGTTCAGTTCTAGTTCAGTTCTAGTTCAGTTCTAGTTCAGTTCTAGTTCAGTTCTAGTTCAGTTCTAGTTCAGTTCTAGTTTAGTTCTAGTTCGTTCAGTTCAAGTTCAGTTCAAGTTCAGTTCAAGTTCAGTTCTAGTACAGTTCTAGTTCAGTTCTAGTTCAGTTCTGGTTCAGTTTTAATTCAGTTCTAGTTCAGTTCTAGTTCAGTTCTAGTTCAGTTCTAGTTCAGTTCTAGTTCAGTTCTAGTTCAGTACTAGTTCAGTTCTAGTTCAGTTCTAGTTCAGTTCTAGTTCAGTTCTAGTTCAGTTCTAGTTCAGTTCTAGTTCAGTTCTAGTTCAGTTCTTTATCTGTTCAGTTCTAGTTCAGTTTCTAGTCAGTTCTAGTTCGTTCTAGTCAGTTTCTAGTTCCGTTCTAGTTCAGTTCTAGTTCAGTTCTAGTTCAGTTCTAGTTCAGTTCTAGGTTCAGTTCTAGTTCAGTTCTAGTTCATTCTCGTTCAGTTCTAGTTCAGTTCTAGTTCAGTTCTAGTTCAGTCTAGTTCAGTTCTAGTTCAGTTCTAGTTCAGTTCTTAGTTCAGTTCTATTCAGTTCTAGTTCAGTCTAGTTCAGTTCTAGTTCAGTTCTAGTTCAGTTCTAGTTCCAGTTTAGTCAGTTTGTTCAGTTCTAGTGCAGTTCTAGCTTCAGTTCTAGTTCAGTTCTAGTTTCATTTTCTAGTTTCAGTTCTAGTTCAGTTTCTCGTTCAGTTCTAGTTCTAGTTCTAGTTCTAGTTCAGTTCTAGTTCAGTTATAGTTCAGTTCTAGTTCAGTTCTAGTTCAGTTCTAGTTCAGTTCTAGTTCAGTTCTAGTTCAGTTCTACTTCAACCTTAACTTTCAAAATCCTTTAAAATAATAAAAAATCATATTAATCCCATTAATTTTTTCCCTTACCATTTCAGTATTGCCTGTATACAGGATGAGCTCGGTCACCTAGGACTCGGTGGTCCCACAGATCTACCCTACAAGCCCGAAATCACACACCAGCATCAACACCAGCCACACACAAACGTCGTAGTCGACTGTAGTGATAGTAGTGCTGAAAATACCTGCCAACACAGATGGCCACCTAACAGTGGCACTTTTGGACATCCCGATAAACCTATCGGTTGGATGTATGGCCTGCTGGGTTGTATGAAACCAGTGCTATCGTTCATAGGCAAAGCAGGTGTTATAGAAATAAAAAATCAAAAAGCCGAAGATTGGGAAATACCCTTTGAACATATAACCGATTTAGAGTGGTTGGGTAGTGGAGCACAAGGAGCGGTATTTAGTGGTAAATTGAAAAATGAAATAGTGGCCGTCAAGAAAGTGAAAGATGTCAAAGAGACGGATATCAAGCATTTAAGAAAATTAGATCATGAGAATATAATAAAATTTAAGTGAGTAAAGGTTTTGATTTGCTAGGGGGAGTGAAAAAAAAGGTAGAGGGGATTATAATTTGTGGCTTTGTTTTTCTAATTGCAGAGGTGTTTGCACACAATCGCCAGTATTTTGTATTATTATGGAATTTTGTCCTTATGGTCCATTACAAAATATACTCAAGGAAGAGGAAGTTATGTTGCCGTCCCGCCTAGTTTCCTGGTCGAAACAAATAGCATTGGGTATGCAATATCTACATTCTCACAAAATAATACATCGAGATTTAAAGAGCCCTAAGTAAGTAGAGATTTAAGAGGATTCAGTACTATTTGTTGATGAATTTTTTTTTTGGACTTTAGCATTCTTATAAGTACAAATGAAATTGTTAAAATAAGTGATTTTGGCACCAGCCGTGAATGGAATGAGATTAGTACGAAAATGAGTTTTGCCGGCACGGTGGCCTGGATGGCCCCCGAAGTCATACGCAATGAGCCGTGCTCAGAGAAGGTGGATATCTGGTCGTATGGTGTAGTGCTTTGGGAAATGCTAACCTGTGAAATACCCTACAAAGATGTTGATTCATCGGCCATTATTTGGGGTGTGGGCAATAATTCCCTAAAGCTGCCCATACCCTCCAGTTGCCCCGATGGCTTTAAGCTGCTGGTAAAACTGTGCTGGAATACCAAACCCCGTAACCGTCCTTCGTTTAGACAAATTTTATCGCATTTAGAAATAGCCGGCCCTGAATTGTTGCGCAAAACCGAAAAGCAATATTTCGAAACGCAACGTTCGTGGAAGGAAGAAGTAAGATCCCATATGAAAGAGATGACCCAAAATGGTACCAGTATTCATAAGTTTGAACAGGATCTGATAAGAAGACGTACGGCCGAATGGCGACATGCTCAGGATATACGCATGGTGTACGAGGATAAGTTGGAGAAGACAAATCGTTTGTATTTGGAGTTAAGCGAGTGTATGTCACAATTACAGGAAAAGGAGAAGGAAATTGCCGAGTAAGTAGTTGAGAAATTGGGGTCGTGAAAGCTCAAAACTTCATAGTTTTTTATTATTTACAGGCGTGAGAAGAAATTACCCGGTTATAAGCCCTCTCGACGTTTTGGCACTACTTTACGTAAAATGCAGTATTATCGAAGAAGACTCAATGGCCCTCCCATGATGATAACGGCCTCCACATCAACACACCAGCAGCAGCAACAGCAGACGCAACAACAGTCTTCAGCCACACCAGATCCTGAGACCACACCAGAGGTAATTGTCTACTTCTTATCACTCTCTCCAACTTAAATAAAACTTAATTCTATAATCCATCTCTTCTACAGAGTCCCGTCAAATGTACCCTCTATGCTCAATTAGATTCATCTTCATCTCAACCCAAATCGTATTGCGTCTCAACACAGAAATCTAAAAAATCCAGACATCGAAGAGTGGGTTCGGGAACATTTGCTGCCACGCCCAAATACAGTCCCTGTCGCGATAGGCGCTATCAAAGTGAACCGGAAAATCGTAAAGTAAAACTAGTTGATACCGAAACTCAAACCGATGCCATGGATGTTAGTGAAACGGATATAAGTCCAAGTGCTGGTTGTCCATCACGTGACATATCGATGCTATTGGATCATCATCACTGCCCACAACTATTAGAACAACCACAACTTGTAACATCACAACCCCTAGATGTAACACAACAGACTGTACAACAACGAAACAGCCGACAACAACAGCAGCAGCAGGTTGTGGCTGAACCACAAACGGCCCAACAATTGCAACAATTAATGGAACAACGACTGCATAATCAAATGCAATATAGTACATCGCCCATGACAATGACGCCCACAAGTCCCAATGGCAATTCATTGACCACCAGCGATCTAACATTTCAAGATGCCTGCTCTAGTCCCGATCAGTTGTTGGATGATGTTATGAATAGTAATGAACGTTTGGACATAACCGATTGCTGTAGTGACAATGAAAATCTCGAACGGCTGGGCCGTAAAGTCATAGAACTCATCAATGAGAATCGTTTGTCCATGCATTCGACAACTGCAGCAAACAATAGCAATAGCAATAGCATTACCAGCCATACAAACAACACCACCTCGGCGTCCAACAATCAACCTTGTTCGAACACCACCACAAATCATGGCACCTTGGCTAGTCCCGAAAATGGTAATTCAGAGTGTTTGGTAGGACGTGATACTACGGATGAGACCGTCGACTTACGTACTCCTCGTTTGTCGCGTTGTTCTAGTCTTCATAGGAGTTCTTTACGCCAACAAGTGAATACAGTTGCTGTTGGAGTTGGCAGCGATGTGGTGGGTAATGTTTTAAATGCCAACGCTGTGGATTCGAATGAGGATATTTGTGAGGATAGTTGGTCCGATGAGGAGGGCGAGGATACCGATTATAATTATTCTTTGAGAAGACGAAGGTAAGTTTAAGTTTTATTTGAATTTACACATGTTATGTCGCTGAGAGGCGATTAAAAGTGTATTCTGCATCTCACTTCCAAATAATCGATAAGATATTACCCTATTTTCAACCGGATTATGATCCTAATTTGAAGACTAAGACCCTGGTTTTTCACAATTTCATCAAATAGAATCAATAATAGCAAATTGTCTGTTTGTACTCCTAGTTTTGAAGTTGTAGGTAAACCCTATCCTTCCATTACACTATCTTACTCGAACACCGTCCATATTATGGAGGAATACATGTTCACCAAAGGAAGCTCTTGTTGCCTTCAATGATTTCTTAAGAAAGTAGTTGGACTTGGACTCTGAGATTAACTCAAATACAGACAGATCTTACTCGGACATCGTCAATATTATGGCGGAATACATGTTAAGAGATCGGTTTATTCTGGTTCATTCCTCGTACTTCTTTTTCGGGAACTCAAAGTCATTACAGAGTCCAAGTTCATAAGACAATCAAAGAAAGCTCTTGTTCTCTTCAATGATTTCTTAAGGAAGTTGTTGGACTTGGACTCTGAAATTAAATAAAATGTAAAGAGTATCATTTATAAGTTCCAAGTGCATTTAGGACTTTCGACATTAGAATTGAGGAATAAGAATCTTGCATGAGCCTGAAATCAAACTCGGTTAATTGGTTGACACGGCGGTAGAACTTTGATAATGACTCAAAGATATTGTTACTAGCAACTTCTGCGGAAAATAGTATTCTTTATAAGCATCAAAAGGAGTGAGGTTCGTTCTGAAACTTCACGACACTTCATCATCCTATTGGATGAAATTGTTTACAAAGAAAGAAGGAAGAAAAAACTCTTCAGAGACTCCTCCTTTTTGTTCTCCAACATCAAGGAAACGCTGAACAGTTATGTTCCGTTGCTGTAGCTAGAAGTAGTTTCCTCGGAAGAAAGACTTTCGGTCCCTTAGTTTGCGGAAAAAAGTTTCCCTTATAAGCATCAAGAGGAGTGAGGTTCGTTCTGAAACTTCACGACACTTCATCGTCCTATTGGATGAAATTGTTTACAAAGAAAGAAGGAAGAAAAAACTCATCAGAGACTCCTCTACTTTGCTCTCCAACATCAAGGAAACGCTGAACTTTATGTTATGTTCTGTTGCTGTAGCTAGAAGTAGTTTCCTCGGAAGAAAGACTTTCGGTCCCTTAGTTTGCGGAAAAAAGTTTCCCTTATAAGCATCAAGAGGAGTGAGGTTCGTTCTGAAACTTCACGACACTTCATCGTCCTATTGGATGAAATTGTTTACAAAGAAAGAAGGAAGAAAAAACTCTTCAGAGATTCCTCCACTTTGTTCTCCAACATCAAGAAAACGCTGAACAGTCGTGTTCCGTTGCTGTAGCTAGAAGTAGTTTCCTTGGAAGAAAGACTTTCGGTCCCTTAGTTTGCGGAAAAAAGTTTCCCTTATAAGCATCAAGAGGAGTGAGGTTCGTTCTGAAACTTCACGACACTTCATCGTCCTATTGAATGAAATTGTTTACAAAGAAAGAAGGAAGAAAAAACTCTTCAGAGATTCCTCCACTTTGTTCTCCAACATCAAGGAAACGCTGAACAGTCGTGTTCCGTTGCTGTAGCTAGAAGTAATTTCCTCGGAAGAAAGACTTTCAGTCGCTTTGTTTCAAATGTTTGGGAACATGTGAATCCAAGACTTTGTAGATGTTTTTTCTTCAAAAGATTTTGAAAAAGTTCGAACACAGTTGTCGCTCCTCAGATACAAATTCAAATACAGATGAAATTCCTCAACGAACTCGAGGAGGTGGCATGAGGAGATATTCATGCATATTTCTTTCAAACGCAGCTCCTCAAATGGAAATGTTATCTCCTCAGAATGTCTTCGTTGTTTGACGTTGTTTTCTGACTTCTTTCGAAATTGTTGGCTAAAAGAGCGAAAGTAGAGGCTACAGTTCCTCCTCGCACCCAGATTTCTGTAATAGTTTCAAAACAGTTCTTGTTTCGTCGCTTTGAAGTATAATTATAGATATTCAATTGGTTCTTAACGAAATTGACGAGGTTTTTTAGGGTCATGTAAGGTGACTAAATCGCTTCGACATCTTCTATGGAAGTTATCACTTTACTACTAACACCACTCGAAGCGGCAACAAGATGACATAGTTTTGAAACATATTTCTATATGAGAAGTTAAAGTTATCTAATCTGTTTGCAAGATTTCTTAGAAATTTTGTTTGGTTTCAACAAAGATCTTTCACTGTCCTTTAGATGTAGATGAAGAAAACTATTCAAACAAACCGTTATAAAGTTATCTCCTCCTTTTAAAGCCTGAATGACTGCTTAAAGCGAAAGGACAGTACCTTCTCAAGCCCAAACACTGAAATCTCTAAAAATTTTCAACAAAGTCTTACACTATCCTTTTGAAGAGCAAGCAGATATACTAAATTAATTGTTCTTCTCTTCAACAAATCCTGGACAAAGTTATCACCTCCATTTAAAGCCTGGACTACATCTTAGAACGAAAGGACAGCTTATAATACCTCCTTAAGACCAGACACTTTTTTTCAAATTTTTAACAAAGATCACAAGCTGTCTTTTAGAAGAACAAGCAGAAGCACTAAATATATGGGGTTTCACTTCAAGGAATCCGGGAATAATCTGATCTTCCCAAACATTACAAATACTTCTTGATTTAAATGATTTCTTTCACTTCTTTTTCGCAATAACTAATTAAATATCGAATCTACAACTTCTTGAACAACAAAGTCATTTAATTTTCTTCCTTTTCCTTTCAGTATCGGTCGTCTACCCATTGGACGAGGCATGCGAGCTCGGCGTTGCTATAAAACTCCCCTAACCCAAAAAGTCTCAATACAAAAACGTAATACAATCATTATATCAGACGAAGAAAATACTTCCGAATATAGTCATTCACCATCGAGTCAACATTCAACGCTCGAAAGTAATCCCGATATGCCAGAAGCCTTACAGAAAATGAAAATAGCAGCTAATACAAATGTAACAGGCAATCATCAACATACCAGCTCCAAATTATCGACAACAACGACGACGACCACAACCTCCAACTCGAGTGATTCGGAATCTTGTGATTCTAGTGAAGCGGAATCGGGTGAAGATGAATCATATGATTTGCCAACGGTATCATCAGCCACCACTACCACTAATACAACAGCAACAACCATACAACAAAGGCAGCCCTCGTTTCACAAGAAAAAATCATCACATCAACAGCAACATCCTCATCATCATCAGTCACAGCTAGTAAGAGATTCTAATAATGCTTCCTTTAAACAAAAACATTTAGTAAATAGTGCAAAACAACGCCAACAACAAAAAGCGATATTATTTCAATACCCACTTATGACAAAGATGGGGCTATAAATATGGTTTAGGTCCAATGAAATTAAAAAAAAAAAAGAATTTTAGTTTTATCTAAAATTTAATTTAATAATACTTATATATACATATATATATATTGCCATGATGTTTGTTTTACAAACATACCACCACCAACACTCCCTCACACACAAAATACACTTAAAGAAAAATTACTTACAAATATGAAAACAGAAAAGAAATTACTTAAGTATATTATATTGATATACTCAAAAACAATTATGAAAAAATACAACAAATAATTAGTAAATTAATTTATTTAATTAATTAATGTTATTATATTATATTCTATATGTTAACTACTTTATAAATTATGCACATTCCCCCCTTCCACCCCCCTCAAACCACAACAATTCACTCATCATAAGTAATGGAAAAAATAATTGAAATTTTAAGTGTTACATACAGTAAAAAGGGCGCAGAGTTTCCCTCTAAGGAGAGAGTCCTCTAAAGGGAAAAGGAGCCTATTGTTTAAAGCGTATTAAGAGGATTTAGCTGTTGTTTGGATCATAACATTCCAAAATTTATGTTATTAGATATTCCCTTTAATATATTAAAAAGTTGTAACTTTTGACTAATGACTCGGCTGTAGCTCTGTCACTTCGAAGAGCAGGTATAGAGCAGATTGACTTGAAAACTCATTTCTGCTCAATATTGAATAGAGATCCGAGATCCTCCTTATAATATAATTGGTTTCCAAAACTTGAACACTAGACGCTTTGGAATAGAGATCCGTGATCATCGATACAATACATAGTTTCAATATACAACTCCTAGAGTTCTCTGTTGAGTTTCTCAGCTTAGGAGGCATCTAACTAAATCTGGTGGCTTTGATTAGTTTCCGTCATAGCCAGATTGCTCTTTAAAGATCTTAATAATATGGAAAACGAACACTTATTACAAATTAATCAAAGAGTAGAGATTGATTTTAAGTTTTAACGTTAACCCCTGAGTACTCAGTAGACGTTCTCCAGTTTTTTCCTAGAGTAGAATCAAATCTGCAAATGCAGCGATAGCTCGCCGAGCTATAATGTGAACCCTATACGGAATCTCAACCTAAAACAAGCACTGCATGTATAAAAATAATAAAACCAGTATCTATTGAGGTGCCAGAATGTGTGACTCTCTTAAGGATCCTTAAGCTCTTAAGGATTGTAAGATAGATATCATCTTATTTGTAGGAACATTGCGAGGCTTGGTTAACTGAAAAGCAGTTCAATCAGAAAATTTCTAAGAACGATCCTTTAGAGCCACCAGAAAGCAAGGAACATTTTAGTCATACAGTCTGCCAATTATTTGAGTGTCAGGTCCACACTATGGTAACTCTAGCTCCAGTTTTTTTTAGAGCCACCAAAGTGTCTAGATCCCATCAGAAATCTCAACCTGAACGATGCACAACTTTCCTTTGAGAGTTCACTTCTAGTTCAGTTCTAAATCCGTTCTAGTTCAGTTCTAGTTGAGTTCTAGTTCAGTTCTAGTTTAGATCTAGTTCAGATCTAGTTCAGTTCTAGTTCAGTTCTAGTTCAGTTCTAGTTCAGTTCTAGTTCAGTTCTAGTTCAGTTCTAGTTCAGTTCTAGTTCAGTTCTAGTTCAGTTCTAGTTCAGTTCTAGTTCAGTTCTAGTTCAAGTCTCGTTCAGTTCTATTCAGTTCTAGTTCAGTTCTAGTTCAGTTCTAGTTCAGTTCTAGTTCAGTTCTAGTTCAGTTCTAGTATCCAGTTCTAGTCAGTTCTAGTTCAGTTCTAGTTCAGTTCTAGTTCAGTTCTAGTTCAAGTTCTAGTTCAGTTTCTAGTCAGTCTAGTTCACGTTCTAGTTCAGTTCTAGTTCAGTTCGAGGTTCAGTTCTAGTTCAGTTCTAGTTCAGTTCTAGTTCAGTTTCTAAGTTCAGTTCTAGTTCAGTTCTAGTTCAGTTCTAGTTAAGTTCGTAGTTCAGTTTCTAGTTCAGTTTCTAGTTCAGTTCCTAGTTCAGGTTCTAGTTCAGTTCTAGTTCAGTTCTAGTTCAAGTTCTAGTTCAGTTCTAGTTCAGTAGTCAGTCGAGTTCAGTTCTAGTTCAGTTTCTAGTTCAGTTCTAGTTCTAGTTCAGTTCTAGTTCAGTTCTAGTTCAGTTCTAGTTCAGTTCTAGTTCAGTTCTAGTTCAGTTCTAGTTCAGTTCTAGTTCAGTTCTAGTTCAGTTCTAGTTCAGTTCTAGTTCAGTTCTAGTTCAGTTCTAGTTCAGTTCTAGTTCAGTTCTAGTTCAGTTCTAGTTCAGTTCTAGTTCAGTTCTAGTTCAGTTCTAGTTCTGTTCTAGTTCTGTTCTTGTTCTGTTCTAGTTCTGTTCTAGTTCTGTTCTAGTTCTGTTCTAGTTCTGTTCTAATTCTGTTTTAGTTCTGTTCTAGTTCTGTTCTAATTCTGTTTTAGTTCTGTTCTAGTTCAGTTCAAGTTCTGTTCTTGTTCTGTTCTAGTTCTGTTCTAGTTGTGTTTTAGTTGTGTTCTAGTTCTGTTTTAGTTCTTTTCTAGTTCTCTTCTAGTTCTGTTCTAGTTCAGTTCTAGTTCAGTTCTAGTTCAGTTCTAGTTCAGTTCTAGTTCAGTTCTAGTTCAATTTTTAAAAGAGGCTTTCACTTTCTTCCTAAAACATTCCACATTATTCTTCAGCTAAATCTTTAAACAATCACACTTTAATTATTACACTGATAAAAATTATTAATATAATTTCAAATTTATAAATTACTCTTATACATACAATGTAATGTAGTCTATATATGTGAGTATATATAAACATATTTCTTAATGTCGTTATTATTATATTATGGTGAAGAAGAAGAAAAAAATCCAAGCAAAAAAATTAAACAATTTATAAACTTTAAATTAAACGAAAAGTAAATTATACAAAATTATTTGTAATAAAATATTAAGTTCAATAAAATATTGAAATTTATTTTAAGAAAGAAATAAGTTTAAGAACTACACCTTGTTTAAAAGGGCTTCTTTTTATTAAAAAAAAAAAACTTTCTTTAAGAAATAATCTGTGATTTTTTAAAAATTATTTTTTACAAAATTTTAGCAGTTATTTCGTATTTTTAAAATATTTTTTTCGGTGTAGTTCGTTTGTAAATTTAATGGAAAAAAGAAAAGAAATTGTTAATTTTGATTCTCTAAATGTACTCAATTTATAATAAAATCTTTGATTTCTTATTAGTTTCTATATAATTTTTTAATTTTCTTTTTAAGAAATCTAAGCTATAAACATCAACATACGTCCTATAGTAAAAGAAAGAAAAACAAAATATTTGCAGTCATTATTGGAAACTATTATTTACAGTGTATTGTATTTTTTAAGAAAAATTATCGAAAATTTCATTATATTTAAGTTTTATAAACTATTTCATAAAGATTTTTACTTCCCGAGGAAGTTCATATAAAACTTGTATTTGCCTATTAAATTGTAATCAAGTTACCATGTTGTAAAAATGTTGCCTTTTTGCCCTTTATCGAAAGAATTTACACTTTTTTCGTTACATAATTTGATATAAAGCAAAAATCGGGCATTATTTTTGTGAAAGGATTTTAAAATCAACAATGTTCATTAAAAAATTATTCTATTAAAAGTTTTTTCTCGAGTTGCCTTGGGGAAAAAAGTATTGCAATTTTTGCACTTTTTAAAAACCAACTTTTTTAGCATTTTGTCCAAAACAGCTTAACATTAAGGTCAACTATGTATTAGTTTTAAAATTGTTTAAATGGGAAAATTTTTTAAACTTTTCCTAGGAAAAAATAATGCAAAATTTTTGCACTTTTTGCATCTTTTGGCATCTTATCTTGAAAATAAGTTTTGTCAGCTTCAATGTCAAAAGTTTGCATTAAAAAGTGTTTGATTTGAAGCATTCTTCGCATATCAAACTTTTCTCAAGTTGTTGTGAGGTAAAAATGTTGCACTTTTTTTAAAAAGGTGTTTATTTTTTTGCACTTTTACCTTGCACCTCATTGTCAAGTATTTGCTTTAAAAAGTGTTTGATAGTTTTTTTCGTTTAGCAAACTTTTCTTACAGGTAAAGGGGCAAAAATATTGCACTTTTTCACAAATTTTGCAAAAATGTTGCAGTTTTTTTTTTACTTTTTTGCATCAATATCAAATTATAGAAAACTTTTGTGAAGTTGTTATGGGGCAAAAATATTGTACTTAAAAAAAATATTGCACTTTTTTGAAAAAGGTTGCACTTTTTGGCTTTTTTCAACTATTTGCTTTAAAAAGTGTTTGTTTTATTGTTTTTGCATTAAAAAATGTTTGATTTAACACATTTTTCGCATATCAAACTTTTTTCAAGTTGTTGTGAGGCAAAAATGTTGCACTTTTTTTAAAAAGGTGTTTATTTTTTTGCACTTTTACCTTGCACCTCATTGTCAAGTATTTGCTTTAAAAAGTGTTTGATAGTTTTTTTCGTTTAGCAAACTTTTCTTACAGGTAAAGGGGCAAAAATATTGCACTTTCTCACAAATTTTGCACTTTTTGCAAAAGTGTTGCAGTTTTTTTTTACTTTTTTGCATCAATGTCAAATATTTGTTTTAGAAAGTGTTTGATTAAAAGTTTTTTCGTATTGAAAACTTTTGTAAAGTTGTTATGGGGCAAAACTATTGTACTTTTTTTAAAAAAATATTGCACTTTTTTTAAAATTTTGCAAAATGCAGTGTTTAAAAAGTGTTTGATAGTTTTTTTTCGTTTAGCAAACATTTCCTACAGGTAAAGGGCCAAAAATATTGCACTTTTTCACAAATTTTGCAAAATGCAGTTTTTTTTACTTTTTTGCATCAATGTCAAATATTTGTTTTAGAAAGTGCTTAATTAAAAGTTTTTTCGTATAGAAAACTTTTGTGAAGGGGCAAAAATATTGTACTTTTTTTTAAATATTGCACTTTTTTGAAAAAGGTTGCACTTTTTTGAACTATTTGCTTTAAAAAGTGTTTGTTTAATTATTTTTTGGTATAGCAAACTTTTCTAAAGTTGTAGAGGGTCAAAAATGTTGTATTTTATGCAAAAATGTTGCAGTTTTTTGCATTTTTTAAACTATTTGCTTTAAAAAGTGTTTGTTTAATTGTTTTTACGTATAACAAACTTTTCTCAAGTTTTAATGGGGCAAAAATGTTGCACTTTTTGTAAAAGGGTTGCACTTTTTTTATTTTTTTCATTAAACAAAAGTTTGATTAATTGCCTTTTCATATAGCAAACTTTTCTCTAGTTGTAAAGAGACAAAAATATTGTACTTTATTAAGAAATTTTGCACTTTTTTAAAAAAATTGCACATTTGTATAAAAATTTGTAATTTTTCTTAACAAAAAGTTGCATTTTTTGCAATAAATGTTTAACTTTTTTGGTATAAAGTCAAATATTGGCTTTAGAAAGTGTGTACTTTTTTTTAAATGTTGCACTTTCTGCAAAAATGTTGCACTTTTTTTGCATTAATATCAATTATTTGCTTTATAAAACATTTGATTAATTGTTTTTTCGTTTAGCAAATGTTAATAAATTTGTAGTGGCCAAAAATGTTGCACTTTTTTTTTAAATTTTGCAAAAATGTTGCACTTTTTGATTTTTTTTTTTTTTTTTTTCTTTAATATCAATTATTTGCTCTATAAAGCATTTGATTTATTGTTTTTTCGTTTTCTAAACGTTTTTCAAGTTGTAATGGGCAAAAATGTTGCACTTTTTCAAAAATTTTGCAATTTTAAAATTTTTTAACTTGAATTGATGCCATTTTAAAAATTTCTCTTACTTTACCGCTTCCTATGAATCAGTTTTCTCTTATCAAAACACTGTAAATAGTTAGATTTCCTTTGCAGCAAAAATAAATATGAAATAGTATAAAGATAAACTTTAAGTTAACTTCAATAAGTCTGTGGTTTTGTTCAACTTCAATTTTCGCTACCTTAGTAGTTTTTAAAAATTAAATATAATTTATTAAAAAATTAAGTAAAAACCTTAAGAAAATTGTATATTTTATTTAGTTTTATTCGACAACAAACATATAATTTTTTTGTGATTATTAATTATAAATGTGTATATTTTATTATAAATTTTAGTTGTAAATTATAAAAAAATAAAGCAAAATTTTGTTGCTGGGATCAAATAATAAAAAGAAAAACAAATTTTTCAAAAAACAAAACATAATTTTTATTTATGTTGTTAATTTAATATTTTAATTTCTCTCCCAAATTTATAATTTGCACAAAAATATAAAACAAAATTTCTTGCTTCAGTGCCTTAATGCAAAAAAAAATATATATATAAAATAAATTATTGTGCTGCATTAAATACAAATTTTTGATGACAAAATTATTAAAAACAAATAAATTATAATAAATTTATTACAAAAAAACAATATTAATTATTATAAATTATAACAAAAAAAAAACAAAACAAGCAACAAAATATTACTTTATATTTAGAAAGTAATTATTATAAAATAAATCTATGTAATATTACTATTATTAAAATATTTTAAGCCAATATATACCTACTACATATATATTTTAGCTTATACACTGAAACAAAAATTATTATAATACAAACAACAAACAAAAAAAGCATATATTAGTTTTAAAAAACGTAAGAAAAACAAAAATTTAAAAATCGTATAAAAAAAAATTACTACAACTACAAAAGGAAAAAAAACAGAATAAGGCATATTCCACGTATATTAATTATAAAATATACCTAAATAAATAAAACATAAAAACAGAAACAAAAAACTTTTTCACAGTGTATTTCATTTTCGATATTACAAAAACAAAGTAAGTAAGTGCTTTTTAAATCATCATCATTTAAATCATCTCAATGACCTCAACATGAGTTTATGATTAATTTTAAGGTTATAACAGGCTTCACTTGTGTGCAAGAAGTTCAAAGAAATAGTAGAAGAAAGAGTTCTCCTCTAGTTCGGTTCTAGTTCTGTTCTAGTTCTGTTCTAGTTCTGTTCTTGTTCTGTTCTAGTTCAGTTCTAGTTCAGTTCTAGTTCTGTTCTAGTTCTGTTCTAGTTCTGTTCTAGTTCTGTTCTAGTTCTGTTCTAGTTCTGTTCTAGTTCTGTTCTAGTTCTGTTCTAGTTCTGTTCTAGTTCTGTTCTAGTTCTGTTCTAGTTCTGTTCTAGTTCTGTTCTGTTCTAGTTCTGTTCTAGTTCTGTTCTAGTTCTGTTCTAGTTCTGTTCTAGTTCTGTTCTAGTTCTGTTCTAGTTCTGTTCTAGTTCTGTTCTAGTTCTGTTCTAGTTCTGTTTTCTAAGTTCTGTTCTAGTTCTGTTCTAGTTCTGTTCTAGTTCTAGTTCTGTTCTAGTTCTGTTCTAGTTCTGTTCTAGTTCTGTTCTATTCTGTTCTAGTTCTGTTCTAGTTCTGTTCTAGTTCTGTTCTAGTTCTGTTCTAGTTCTGTTCTAGTTCTGTTCTAGTTCTGTTCTAGTTCTGTTCTAGTTCTGTTCTAGTTCTGTTCTAGTTCTGTTCTAGTTCTGTTCTAGTTCTGTTCTAGTTCTGTTCTAGTTCTGTTCTAGTTCTGTTCTAGTCTGTTCTAGTTCTGTTCTAGTTCTGTTCTAGTTCTGTTCTAGTTCTGTTCTAGTTCTGTTCTAGTTCTGTTCTAGTTCTGTCTAGTTCTGTTCTATGTTCTAGTTCTGTTCTAGTTCTGTTCTAGTTCTGTTCTAGTTCTGTTCTAGTTCTGTTCTAGTTCTGTTCTAGTTCTGTTCTAGTTCTGTTCTAGTTCTGTTCTAGTTCTGTTCTAGTTCTGTTCTAGTTCTGTTCTAGTTCTGTTCTAGTTCTGTTCTAGTTCTGTTCTAGTTCTGTTCTAGTTCTGTTCTAGTTCTGTTCTAGTTCTGTTCTAGTTCTGTTCTAGTTCTGTTCTAGTTCTGTTCTAGTTCTGTTCTAGTTCTGTTCTAGTTCTGTTCTGTTCTAGTTCTATTCTAGTTCTGTTCTAGTTCTGTTCTAGTTCTGTTCTAGTTCGTTCTAGTTCTGTTCTAGTTCTGTTCTAGTTCTGTTCTAGTTCTGTTCTATTCCGTTCCAGTTCTGTTCTAGTTCTGTTCTAGTTCTGTTCTAGTTCTGTTCAGTTTGTTCTAGTTCGTTCTAGTTGTCTAGTTCTGTTCTAGTTCTTTTTTTGTTCTAGTTCTATTCTAGTTCTGTCTAGTTCTGTTCTAGTTCTGTTCTAGTTCTGTTCTAGTTCTTTCTAGTTCTGTTCTAGTTCTGTTTTAGTTCTGTTCTAGTTCTGTTCTAGTTCAGTTCTAGTTCTTTTCTAGTTCTGTTCTAGTTCTGTCCTAGTTCTGTTCTAGTTCTGCTCTAGTTCTGCTCTAGTTCTGTTCTAGTTCTGTTCTAGTTCTGTTCTAGTTCTGTTCTAGTTCTGTTCTAGTTCTGTTCTAGTTCTGTTCTAGTTCTGTTCTAGTTCTGTTCTAGTTCTGTTCTAGTTCTGTTCTAGTTCTGTTCTAGTTCTGTTCCAGTTCTGTTCTAGTTCTGTTCTAGTTCTAGTTCTTGTTCTAGTTCTAGTTCAGTTCTAGGTTAGATTTAGCCTTTATGTACTCATGTTTAGAAGTTAAGAAGTTTTTAGCAGAAATGACGCTGATAGGTCCACAAATTTTGCCCTAGTTCACTAAATGGAACAAGAAAGCCAGGTCTTTCATATACAACCTTGAAATAATCAGAACCACTTTATTCTGCAGGAATCCACTAGTGATATATCGATAAAAATAATTCTGATTGGTTTGAACTTAAAACGTTAGTAGTGTCAATTTATTCGACTATTCCCTAATTATTTTGTTTTATTTCTCTTTAAACCACTTGTTAAACTTAATTAAAAGAAAATATAATGGATTTTTGTCCCAAAATTTATAAAAACAATCCATTCAAAAATTGTCAAAATTCATTAAAAAAATATATTTATTTCAAAAAGATTTTTAATTTTAATAAAAAGAAAAATTATTGAAATAAATTAAAAATATTAATAAAATAATAGAAAAAATCGCGTATCACTAAATAAAAATAATATTATTTTAGTAAAATAAAGATTATATATTCAAAATTTAAGTTTTTTTGTGCCGGAAAATGAATCGTGATCCGGAATGTGATTGTTGTCCTCCAAACAGCTGTGATGCTTGTGTGCCCCAATGTTCTTCAGAACAATATGTAAGGTAAGGATCAGTTTGTTTGAAAGGCTTTTTATTTTGGTTAATGATTGTAATTGTTTTAAGGATCCGTGCCGAAAGGCGTCTTAAGCCCCAGTTAGTATGCAGTACTAAGAATTGTAACATTTTTGGAATGCATGATACTAATCCGATGGCGGAATATCCATGTCGTAAGAAAAGTATGTGGTGTTTATAAATATTATCAACTGAAAGCTTAGATTCAGTTCTAGTTCAGTTCTAGTTCAGTTCTAGTTCAGTTCTAGTTCAGTTCTAGTTCAGTTCTAGTTCAGTTCTAGTTCAGTTCTAGTTCAGTTCTAGTTCAGTTCTAGTTCAGTTCTAGTTCAGTTCTAGTTCTGTTCTAGTTCTGTTCTAGTTCTGTTCTAGATCAGTTCTAGTTCAGTTCTAGTTCAGTTCTAGTTCAGTTCTAGTTCAATTCTAGTTCAGTTCTAGTTCAGTTCTAGTTCAGTTCTAGTTCAGTTCTAGTTCAGTTCTAGTTCAGTTCTAGTTCAGTTCTAGTTCAGTTCTAGTTCAGTTCTAGTTCAGTTCTAGTTCAGTTCTAGTTCAGTTCTAGTTCAGTTCTAGTTCAGTTCTAGTTCAGTTCTAGTTCAGTTCTAGTTCAGTTCTAGTTCAGTTCTAGTTCAGTTCTAGTTCAGTTCTAGTTCAGTTCTAGTTCAGTTCTAGTTCAGTTCTAGTTCAGTTCTAGTTCAGTTCTAGTTCAGTTCTAGTTCAGTTCTAGTTCAGTTCTAGTTCAGTTCTAGTTCAGTTCTAGTTCAGTTCTAGTTCAGTTCTAGTTCAGTTCTAGTTCAGTTCTAGTTCAGTTCTAGTTCAGTTCTAGTTCAGTTCTAGTTCAGTTCTAGTTCAGTTCTAGTTCAGTTCTAGTTCAGTTCTAGTTCAGTTTCTAGTTCAGTTCTAGTTCAGTTCTAGTTCAGTTCTAGTTCAGTTCTAGTTCAGTTCTAGTTCAGTTCTAGTTCAGTTCTAGTTCAGTTCTAGTTCAGTTCTAGTTCAGTTCTAGTTCAGTTCTAGTTCAGTTCTAGTTCAGTTCTAGTACAGTTCTAGTTCAGTTCTAGTTCTGTTCTAGATCAGTTCTAGTTCAGTTCTAGTTCTGTTCTAGATTCAGTTCTAGTTCAGTTCTAGTTCAGTTCTAGTTCAGTTCTAGTTCAGTTCTAGTTCAGTTCTAGTTCAGTTCTAGTTCAGTTCTAGTTCAGTTCTAGTTCAGTTCTAGTTCAGTTCTAGTTCAGTTCTAGTTCAGTTCTAGTTCAGTTCTAGTTCAGTTCTAGTTCAGTTCTAGTTCAGTTCTAGTTCAGTTCTAGTTCAGTTCTAGTTCAGTTCTAGTTCAGTTCTAGTTCAGTTCTAGTTCTAGTTCAGTTCTAGTTCAGTTCTAGTTCAGTTCTAGTTCAGTCCTAGTTCAGTTCTTGTTCAGTTCTAGTTCAATTCTAGTTCAACTTTGAATTACTTTTATTTTTCAGGCAATAAATTCAAAGATGAAAACAAAAACTCTTTGGGTTCACCTATTGGCCTCGTGGCCTCTAATGTAAATTTCAAAACCGAAGGCAAGACTAGCGATATTATACAGGCGCGATACGCCACTTATCTCAAGGCCTTTGCCCGCCTACATCTAAATGTGGAAACTTCCTGGAATGCCCTTGTTATCGATGACATAATGAAAGAAGGTCTTATACTGTATTCCTATTCACAAAAAGAAGAAACCAAAATCGAATCTCCTAGCGATATATATCTGCCCAATGAAGTGCAGGTTTTGAGAGAATTTGAACTATCAGATTTTACTTTTCATATCGAGCTAATGGCGCCCTTTAAACTAGATAGCTCGGTTTCTTTGGAAACAGGAGCCAAAGGTGATGGTGCGGAGTTAACTTTGGAAGATTTATTACCAGTTTTGCGCAATTTCTTTCGCCAGCACAAATATGGTTTATTGACAGTGGGTGCTTTCTATGTATTGCTTTGGCGTTCGGCAGAGGCCTATTTTGTCTTCGATGCTTGTGGTCGTAGAGTTACCGATTTTCAGGCTGATAAAGATAAAGGTGTGGCTATGCTGATATGTTTAAGTTGTTTGGAAAATGTAACGCATTTGATTCAAAATCTAAGTTCTCTGGCAAGGACGGATCCTTTAACAATAAGGGAAATAAAAGTGGTGAAAGTAGTAACACCCGGTGGCTCTATAATGCAGCAGGAATATGGCAAACGTACTCCACAATATCATGTGGTTAATGATGATTATGCCTACCTTAAGGCCGGCTTGCATTTGTCTCTAAACAGAAGAGATTTAGTGAGAAATCGCAGTGCTTTACCGGTAGCTGTCAGTGCTATAGTGGTCTCGAAAATCGATCATCCCGCCACCTGGGATTTGAAAATGTTGGATAAGATAATTTGTTTTGGGGTAAATCTTTGTCAAGCTTGTTGGGCGAATTGTCGAGTCAGTGGCATCATAGATGTTACCGAATTTCCCACCTATTTCTCTATGGGCCAATTTAAAATCACTAACGAAATTGTAAACCATAAATACGAAGGCACCTGGCGTTGTGTGCCCGGCTTCAAACACAGTGAATTGGCTCATGCTATACGTAAGGCGTTCGAGGCGGGCGATCAGAAATTGTTGGTGCAAATTAATTATCAAATGTACGCCGTTTGGAAAAAGCAGGATTTCATATATCTTCTCGATCCCTATCGTCATCGAATTTTAGGCAAATCACCTGAATCTGAGGTGTATGAGGAGATGGAGAAGTGCGCCACCTTAAGAATGTTTGGTTCCTTTGAGGTTTTCATGAATGTTTTCAATAATATTCTCTTGGATTCCAATCGCACCAGCAAGTTTTTCATACACACTTTAAAGGTCAAGAATATTCAGAAAAGACATAAGTACCGAAAGGCTAAATCAACGCAATCCATTGAAGATATCAAGTTGGATGCATATGGTGAAATTGTGTCCATTAATGAACACATTTGCTTTGAGGAAGGAGAAGATTTGTGTCAGAAAGCTTTGGGTGAAATTAGTGATTATGAAGATGAAGATCTAAGATCGGATGTGGTGGAAATGGAACTGAGAACTTCTTCCAGCGAGGCAGAAATAATGGAAGAAGAGGAAGCGGGAGGTGCCGGAGAAGGAGAGGAATTAGAGGGCTTAGAATCTTCCTCCAGTGGTGAGGAAGGAGGTGGCCATAAAAAGAAATCACAAAAAGGCAAAGGCTCTAGTAAAGGAAGCCAAGATAAGAGTGGTAAAAGTAAAGGAGGCAAAAATAAAGGTGGTTCTGGAAAAGGTAAAAAGGGTAAAGGTGCTAAAGATAGTGAAGGGGGAGAAGCAGGTGGTAAGAAGCGTAAAAAGCCTAAGAATGAAGAGAGTGACGAAAGTTCGGGAGAAGAAGGTGGTGGCAAAGGCAAAAAGAGGAAGAAAGCTAAAGATATGGATAAGACTGGCAAGAGTAGTGGAGAAGATCAGCAGAAAACCGATAAAGATGGCAAAGCTAAAGATGATAAATTAAAGGGAACAAAAAACCAACTAGATGAAGATAAAGAGCTTAAAAATAAAGAACTTAAAGCTAAAGATGTAAAAGATAAGGACCAGAAAAATAAAGATCTAAAAGCTAAAGATCTTAAAGATAAAGATCAGAAAGATACAGATCAGAAAGATAAGGATCTAAAAGATAAAGATCTTAAAGATAGGGATCTAAAGGATAAGGATCAAAAAGAAAAAGCTCAAAAAGATCTTAAAGGTAAAGATCAGAAAGAAAAAGATTTAAAAGATAAAGATCTGAATGATAAAGATCGCAGAGAAAAAGATCCGGAAGATAAATACAAAACTAAAGACTCCAGACTTAAAGGGGAGGAAGGTGATAAAAATTTAAAAGAAAAACAAGGACAAGAAGGTAGAGATCTCAACAAAACTCAAAGCGAAAAGGGAGAAAGGAAAGATCAATCTAAAGACAAAGACAAACAAGATTCTATTAAAGGTCACGACAAAGGTCCAGGTAAAGATGCTTTAGGTAAAGATGTTCTGTCTAAAGATAAAACCGGACTAGGCAAAGGTGATGGTGATAGGACACATTCAAGTTTCAATAAAGATACAATTGATCCAAATAAAGACGATATAACTGTTACAAATGATCTGAGTAAAACAGATAAAGATCCCAACAAAACCACTAACGAAGATGAAAGAAAATCCCAAAGAACTGAAGCGACTGATGATGGTAAGAGTAAAAATATAGATGATGAATTAAGACAAAAATTAGAAGCAGCTAAAGGCAGCAATAAAGAAAATGAAATAAGCAAAGATTCTAATAAAACCCAAGAAAAGGACGAAAATAAAGAAGATAAAAGCCAAGACGAAAACAAATTAAAAGATAAGCTAGAATCAAGTAAACAAGCAGATAAAGAACGCAGCTTAACTAAAGATAAAAGTGGACTCAAAAAAACAAAGTCTAGCGATCGTTCTCGCTTGTACGATGATGGCACCGAGGCAGATGATGAAAATGAGGATTACTTTAAGAAGAAACAACGCTATTGCTCTGGACCTAATCCAAATCGTTATCCTGGTTACTTTAAATATCCCCTCGATATGGCAGTAGTGGGTTCGGAAAATGGCAGTTATGCAAGTATTTGTAAACTATTCCAGGCGGGTTTCAAAGTAGCCGATCGTGTACTTACACTCACCCCTTGGGGCAATTTTGTCATATTTCGTTGTTCGGGCAAAGGGGGCTTAGAGGAAAGAAACTACTACCTTTTCGATGGTTGTACTTGTAATTTTGATCGTTTTCGTCATTTCGATTTAAGTGTAGGCACGGCGGGGTTGATATGTTTTAAACACACCCATAATGTTATCGAGTATATAAGGCATTTGCGTAAATCGCGTAGAAGTAATTGTGTGGAACAGAATAAATTCACAGCTGATGATATTTGCCGGCAATATTGTGGTAGAAGTAGTAGTTTGAGAGTATAGCTGAGGTCTCTTAGATTTTTGGTTTGTAAAGAATTTTTCAAATTATAGTTGCATGTGTATTTTGTAAATTTTTATATAAAAAATCTTTATAAAAAATTGTATTTTTAATAAAAAAAAATTTATGAAACAATTAACTTTAATTGTTTTGCTTAAGAATTTCTATTGCATGTTAATTCAGTTCTAGTTCAGTTTTAGTTCTGTTCTGGTTCTGTTTTAGTTCTGTTCTAGTTCTGTTCTAGTTCTGTTCTAGTTCTGTTCTAGTTCTGTTCTAGTTCTGTTCTAGTTCTGTTCTAGTTCTGTTCTAGTTCTGTTCTAGTTCTGTTCTAGTTCTGTTCTAGTTCTGTTCTAGTTCTGTTCTAGTTCTGTTCTAGTTCTGTTCTAGTTCTGTTCTAGTTCTGTTCTAGTTCTGTTCTAGTTCTGTTCTAATTCTGTTCTAATTCTGTTCTGGTTCTGTTCTGGTTCTGTTCTAGTTCAGTTCTAGTTCTGTTCTAGTTCTGTTCTAGTTCAGTTCTAGTTCAGTTCTAGTTCAGTTCTAGTTCAGTTCTAGTTCTGTTCTAGTTCTGTTCTAGTTCTAATTCTGTTTTAATTCTGTTCTAATTCTGTTCTAATTCTGTTCTAATTCTGTTCTGATTCTGTTCTAGTTCTGTTCTAGTTCAGTTCTAGTTCTGTTCTAGTTCTGTTCTAGTTCTGTTCTAATTTGTTCTAATTCTGTTCTAGTTCTGTTCTAGTTCTGTTCTAATTCTGTTCTAATTCTGTCTAATTCTGTTCTAGTTCTGTTCTAGTTCTGTTCTAGTTCCGTTCTAGTTCTGTTCTAGTTCTGTTCTAGTTCTGTTCTAGTTCTGTTCTAGTCTGTTCTAGTCTGTTCTAGTTCTGTTCTAGTTCTGTTCTAGTTCTGTTCTAGTTCTGTTCTAGTTCTGTTCTAGTTCTGTTTCTAGTTCTGTTCTAGTTCTGTTCTAGTTCTGTCTAGTTCTGTTCTAGTTCTGTTCTAGTTCTGTTCTAGTTCTGTTCTAGTTCTGTTCTAGTTCTGTTCTAGTTCTGTTCTAGTTCTGTTCTAGTTCTGTTCTAGTTCTGTTCTAGTTCTGTTCTAGTCTTTCTGTCTAGTTCTGTTCTAGTTCTGGTTCTAGTTCTGTTCTAGTTCTGTTCTAGTTCTGTTCTAGTTCTATTCTAGTTATGTTCTAGTTCTGGGCCCAAATTACGGCATACGATATCGATCGAAATCTCAATAGAATCTAAATGGAGATTTCGATCGATATCGTATGCCATAATTTGTGCCCTGTTCTAGTTCTGTTCTAGTTCTGTTCTGTTCTAGTTCTGTTCTAGTTCTGTTATAGTCCTGTTCTAGTTCTGTTCTAGTTCTGTTTAGTTCTGTTCTAGTTCTTTTCTAGTTCTGTTCTAGTTCTGTTCTAGTTCTATTCTAGTTCAGTTCTAGTTCAGTTCTAGTTCAGTTCTAGTTCAGTTCAGTCCTAGTTCAGTTCTAGTTCAGTTCTAGTTCATTTCTAGTTCAGTTCTAGTTCAGTTCTAGTTCAGTTCTAGTTCAGTTCTAATTCAGTTCTAGTTCTGTTCTAGTTCTGTTCTAGTTCTGTTCTAGTTCTGTTCTAATTCTGTTCTAGTTCTGTTCTAGTTCAGTTTTAGTTCAGTTCTAGTACAGTTCTAGTTCAGTTCTAGTTCAGTTTTAGTTCTGTTCTAGTTCTGTTCTAGTTCAGATTTAGTTCAGTTCTAGTTCAGTCCTAGTTCAGTTCTAGTTCAGTTCTAGTTCATTTCTAGTTCAGTTCTAGTTCAGTTCTAATTCAGTTCTAGTTCTGTTCTAGTTCTGTTCTAATCCTGTTCTAGTTCTGTTCTAGTTCAGTTTTAGTTCAGTTCTAGTTCTGTTCTAGTTCAGTTCTAGTTTAGTTCTAGTTCAGTTCTAGTTCAGTTCTAGTTCTGTTCTAGTTCAGTTCTAGTTCGGTTCTAGTTCAGTTCTAGTTCAGTTCTAGTTCAGTTGTAGTTCAGTTGTAGTTCGGTTCTAGTTCAGTTCTAGATCAGTTCTAGTTCAGTTCTAGTTCAGTTCTAGTTCAGTTCTAGTTCAGTTCTAGTTCAGTTCTAGTTCAGTTCTAGTTCAGTTCTAGTTCAGTTCTAGTTCAGTTCTAGTTCAGTTCTAGTTCAGTTCTAGTTCAGTTCTAGTTCAGTTCTAGTTCAGTTCTAGTTCAGTTCTAGTTCAGTTCTATTTCTGTTCTAGTTCAGTTCTAGTTCAGTTCTAGTTTAGTTCTAGTTCAGTTCTAGTTCAGTTCTAGTTCAGTTCTAGTTCAGTTCTAGTTCAGTTCAAGTTCTGTTCTAGTTCTGTTCTAGTTCAGTTCTAGTTCAGTTCTAGTTCGGTTCTAGTTCAGTTCTAGATCATTTCTAGTTCAGTTTTAGTTAAGTTCTAGTTCAGTTCTAGTGTAGTTCTAGTTCACTTCTAGTTCAAGTTCATTTCTAGTTCAGTTCTAGTTCATTTCTAGTTCAGTTCTAGTTCAGTTCTAGTTCAGTTCTAGTTCAGTGCTAGTTCAGTTCTAGTTCAGTTCTAGTTCAGTTCTAGTTCAGTTCTAGTTCAGTTCTAGTTCAGTTCTAATTTACTTCCAATTAAGATCCAGTTCATGTTATTAATATGCAATCAATGTACCTTTCTTTTTTTAGCCAAAATTATCAGGTTTTTTCAAAACTTTCCACTGCTACTTTCTACGGTAACTTCTTAAAGATGACATCATCTTTTAAAATTAAACATTATGTCAATGACTCAAGGGTTTCATGCATATAAACTGTACTTCTAGATATAGACTGAACATCCGATCACGTGGTTATTTCCACCCCTTAACAAACAAAAAAATTACATTCCTTTTTTCAATAACTTAAACAATTTGCACAAAAATCATTTTGTATTTTTTTGTTGATTGATGTTACATTTTACAATAAAGTAAATTTACGTACTAAATATGTATTAGATAAATATAAAAAAATAATAATAGAGAATTTAACATAAAGATCATTTAACATAACTTAAAAAAAAGTAATAAAGAAACGATGCAATAACTTTTTTAATTGAGACAAGAGGTTGGTTTAAGCAGAAGAAAAGCAGCAGCTTGAATTTATATAAATAAATAAGTAGTTGGAAATCTTTTTTTAGTACAGTTGTACACAAAACATTTCCAACTAAATTAATCCCCTGCGGAGAGTCTACTTTCTTGTATTAGTATTATAAAAAAACTAAAAACATTGAGTTTTTTTTTCAGCTAAACCTAGAGAAATTATGTGGTATAAATTAAACCTAACATTCCATGGCTAAAGAATTGGAGTTTTCATTTAAAGCGGCCACACCATTTTCAATAGGCATAGCTAAACTGTTATCATCCATGGTGGCTTCCGGCGCTTCCAAAGAATTATGACTGTTAGAGGATGAAGGACCGCCGGCAGCTGCTGAGGTGGAGGCGCCGCCATTCATATCACCAGCAGCACATTGCATGTCATCATCAATATTTTCACCCTCATGACCATTGCCATTGGCCAATTCATTTGTGGAAGCATCATCCCAATTGATTTTGAAACGTGTTACTCTCGGCTTGGTGGCCAATATATTGCGGGTTAGTTTATCAAATAAAGGTTTGGGTGGGGGATTTTCACGCATTTCAGGATCGGCATAATCATTATTCACAAAATAACCAACACGCACAAACTCCTGGCCACGATAAGAGCAAGTTAACAACACTATGGTGACACCCACGGCATCCGGTTCAGGAATTTTGGTGACATCTGGGGGGTCCGCTTGAAATACAAATATGTGTCGACCTTCGGGCACGGGACCAACGTATATGGTATCTAAGACTTGATCATATTCCTCCGATTCCGCCGAACCCACATATATCATTTTCCATTCCAAATCCTCTTTCAGCTCCTCTATACACTCAAAGGTTAGTTCAAATTGAAAGGGATTGAAAAAACTACTGGGATTGTCCAGCACCACAACATTTGTTATGTGTACTTTAGCCATATTATTTAGTTGGCGGCAGTAATGCTTATTGTGCTGTGCTTACAATATTGCTAGCGTGGTCACTGGTTTTTGCGCTTTTTATTAGTTTTCCGCAAATTAATATACAAAAGGCAGATGGTGTAATTGTTTAATTTTTGTGGCACAAATTTGGTTAAACGCTTAATTTCTGTAAAATTATGGATGTATTATTGGTTTTTTGTATTTTTTTTAATTATTTAGTAATTACCTTAGAGTTTTTAGTTATTTTAAGTTTGTATTTCTGTAATTTTTTGCACAAATTTAAGGGTTTTTGTTTTATTGTTAATAAAAATGAACTGTTTGCCAAAAAAACTGTTTCTTACAATAAAAGAGAAATGACATTTCCAGAAATGTTGCCAACTTTCCCGCCAAATTCCAATAGAGAAAAAAATGTCAAAATGCATTGCGATGCTAATATATCACAGTGAATAACAACAGATGTTTACAGTAAATAAAAAAACAAGGATGCCACTAGCGTATTTATATATAAAAAATTAAGAAAAATTTAATATTTTCCAAGAAAATAAACAATTATGTTAAAAATTCGATTATTTTAACAGTTAAAAGCTTAATTTTTATTATTTTACATGTAAGATTTATGTATTAATAAGTTCATTAAATTCCTTTAAAAACTTAAGCGTTTTTTTCTTTATTTCCTACGTGGCATCTCTTTTCTACTCTACCAGCTGTTTTGTTATAGTTGTTGTTTTTGCTGTTGTAGAAATTTATTTGTTTATTGTGTTTTGTTGGGGGAAAGAAAATAAATTTATATTAAATTTTCTCTTATTATCCGGCTAAAAAAAATGATACACTTGACTGGACAAAATTATAATACTCGAGAAATAGTGCAAAATATTTTCTCCCCTCTAATAGGTGTACTCAGTAGTCCCTATGCCGATGAGGTGTGTCATCGTAACAATTTATCATTTGTGGAATTGTTGCAACCTTTTGCTAAATTGCAAAATGATGGTAAAATTATAAAAATACTAATAAATATTAAAAAAATAATATAACTTCCTAACAAACAGCTCATTTTCGTGATGTGTCAGGCACTAGTGTTTCCATTAGAGGCCTGCGTTTGAATTTCTGTGATGTAGACTGGCGGCCACCACAAACAGT